CTTCCCTGGTTTTGGGTTGTTCCATCTCAAAGCTTCTGGGTTTGGGGGGGTTTTCCGAGGTTTCATACATTCCGGGGTTGAGGGTTACCGGGCTCCAGGTTGCTGGGCCGTTCCGGGAAGCAAAGCCTGTTTCTCCTGTTAAGGTTTAGGGTTTAGCTAGGGGTTTAGGGGTTTAGTGTTTTGGGGCTTAGAGCTTAGGGGTTTTGGGGTTTCCCAAACAATAAACCCTAAAACCAAGCCCGAGCCCTACACCCCTTGTCCTCACACGAAGAACTCAAGCTTCCGCCCCTCGTTTGAGTTGATAAGAACGCGTAAGATTATCATAGTGGACTGTATGGGTAGCCTCTTGCCAAACACTTGTGCAATCGATTCAAGACTTTTGCTTTGGAAGATCGCTGCAAACGGGCTTCTGCAAGATGCCTTGGATCCTGCAGAAGATATACTGAAGGAGTCAGAAATAAACCCTAATCAAACCCTAACCCTAAACCCTGAATCTACAGCTCACCCTTCAGGACTTCCAGCTTGAAGCACCTCTCCAGGCTTGCAGGTGCCTCCGAACGGAATCAAAGAACATGTTACGCGAGGTTCGCCTGTCCGCGTGAGACTCGCAGGGGAGGTGCCAGGTCGCGCCGTTTCCGGAGGACCAGATCCGGAAGGATGTCTCGGACGACGGCGCTCCTTCGGGTCCGAAGAGGAAGCCCGGAAGATGAAGCCAAGCATGCGGAAGAAGCCACTGCACTGCACCTACCCTGCTCGGAGGGTGAATGTCGCCTCGAGGTCCTGGTTCCCTCCGGCGCCTGTGGCGTAATCTTCGCCTGGGCCTGGCCCCATGACCATGGACACGAAAACGAGCCCCATTTCCCGTGTCGTATCGCTGCCAGAGCGTGGCCAGCACCACTTTGGTGTGCCCATTGTTGGGATGTTGATGACGAACGATTCCGAAACCCTAAATTTCGAACCCTAAACCCGGATTTCCTGCGTTCCCCAGCTCCGGAGAATCTCCTTGAGGTCATCTTCTGACTAGACCGGACACCACGATCTCCTTCAAAAGCTCCGGCCGGAGTGCTGGACGCTCTTTCAGGGCCCCTGCAGGCCTGGTGAAGATGAAGGCTTGTAGGGCTTAGCGTTCAGGGATTAGGGTTTTGAGCAACTCCTCCATCCGAAAGAGGTCTGCGGCTGCGAAGGCCTCACACGCCAGGCCAGGCGTCAGTGCCTGTTCTACAAGATGCAAGCACAGTCGATGCAAGGCATCGACCTGGCATTTGTCTACCGGTGCGGCCACCTCCGCCATTGTGGTGGCAGAGCCCTCAACGATCCCAGAGTAAAGAAAGCGCAGGAAGATCTCAACTGCACTAGCCGAGAAGTCTTCCATGACGATGTCGGCCCTCTCGGCATAGCTATCTGCTGAAGCGATCATCTTCTCAAAGACGGGTGACCACTGGGCAAGCAGGAAGGACCACGCCTTCAATTCAACCACCGCCTCATGCTCAACATCCTCGGAAGCGTCGCTCGCTTCTTGCAGGATGATGTTGAAGTTGCCGTCCTTGCCGGAGCAGGACTTCCGTACGTCAGATGCAGCAAGAAGACTGTCGCCTTTAACTGTCCCTCTGCGTGGAGAAAGCCACTTTTTCAATCGGATTGCGTTCTGCGCTTCGTCCATCAAATGCAAGCCACGAACCCACGTACGATGCTCTCTTCTTGGGTTAGACAAACGTGGCTAAATCCGAATGAGGAAGGACGTAGAAGATCCAGGCGATTCTTGCGAACATGGGCATTCACAAAAAGCGTTAGTTCAAGAACACAACCCTCAAACAAACTACGTACTCAGTTTGCTTAGAGCCCTTGGGCAACGGCCTACCTTCACGTCACCCTCACGTAATGATAGGATGCCCGTTTGGGGTTCTAGTTGTATGTCCCTTACCGGGTCTGGGTATGGCCTGTCGGCCCTAAGTACTTCCTTCACACAAGCTACACGCCGAAACCACTCCAAAATCCTGGTTCCATTGAAGATGCAGGGCGACCCACATGTCTATCTCAAATAGCAGGACACTTAAATTTTGAAACATTCGTTCAAAATACCCACAACCCCACCTCTCGGCAACATTAGGGAGAGTGCCTTCCTGTGCGATGGCAAGACTTCGCAACAGCTCGCCGGCCTCTTTTGCATAAGGTTTCGTCTTGAGGATTTCGGGTCTAGGGTTTGGATCTCATTAGGCTTCGGGTGCGGGTGCAAGGGTCCTACTCAGCTGATAAAACCCAATTATTGTTCGACTTACTGCCCCTCAGAAACAAAGAAGCTCAAACGTTCAGAATGAAACTCGCAAAGTCGCTTGGTGCTGGTAGGTATTCGTCATTGAATGTCCTGGCTCAGACTTGTACCCTTAGCTTGGAATATGGTTTGGAGGGCCCTACAAACCCTAAACCCTAGAGGCCAAAACCCTGCAACCCTTACCCCCAATCCCGAAACCCCGAAACCCAAAAACCCTAAACCCTAGAGCCCTTTTACACAGGCTTGATTGGAGCTCGCCCGGCCAATGTCCCTCGTAGCACATCGCCCTAAACCCTAGAGCCCTAAACCCTGAAACCCTGAACCCCAATCCCGAAACATTGGGATCGTCATGGCGAATTACGGATTTTACCTCAAATCATACTATAAATTAAAGTATATATTCATGAATTACGCGGATATTGGAAAGTCTGGGTTTCGTCCAAGGTCCAGATCGGAAGCTCCCGACGAGCTCAAAGGGTTTGCACTCTCACAACTCGGACGATCCAAAGGGTTTAGGGTGGTTCTCAGAGCACCCAAATCCTGTACCTGAATCAGCCTTAAACCCTTGAGCTTTTACCGGTACTAAAATACCCTGAACCCCGCAACCCTAAACCCTCAAGTACGACAGATGCCCTAAAGCCTGAAGCCCAAACACTAAACCCCAAACCCCTTTTTTTGCGTGTTTTCAACCGGCTTGCAACGTCACGCCCAAACCCCAAAAACTAAACCCTACTGTAAACCCTAAACCCTGAACCCTAAACCCTACTGTAAACCCTAAACCCTAAACCCTAAAACCCCGAACCTTATAAACCCTACCGTAAAGCCCTGAACTGCGAGCACTTCGAGGCTCCACCTCCTCAAGAGAACTGCAGGTTGGGCGGTCGTCACTACCGGTGACAGCTCCATCGCTGCGATGCGGATCCCCCAAAGGGCTGAAGGTAGAAACCCTAAAGAATAGCATCAAAATAGCCAAAAAAGCCTTATATAATAGGGTCTCTGGACCCAAAGGCCTTAAAATATGAGTCCTTTGATGGTAAGGGTAAAGAATAATGTAGTAAGGGCCTTAATTGTTAGAACAGGGTTTTGGGGGTGTTTTATACTATGTACTTATACTTGCTGAAGGTAGAAACCCTATACACAATAAAGACTTTACAAGGCCTCCTTTCCGGGGGCTAAGACTAAGAGTTCTCGGATGTTTAGGGTTAGGGTTTTAGGTTCGTGAGACAGTGAGGTTGGTTCGTACTGCCGTTTTTGGGTCTGGGGTGTTTGGGGATGCTCCTAGGATGCCAATGAAGGCTTCATAGTCTTCACCCGAGCTCTAGCGGGGCCTTTTGGGGTGCAGGCTAGTAGTACCATGATGTGTAGGCTCATCAAGCCTTGCAAACCTAAAGCTTTCCTACATCAGCCACGGGCCAAAGCGAAACTTCAAACCTGACAAGACTCCATGCGTAGGGCTCACAGTACGCATAGGCTAGGGGGCAGGGGTATTACCTTAGACATGAACAGATCCAGATTGAGACTACCAGTAGTTGGTGGTGAACCTCCGAGCACCCACACCTTCTGCTCCTGCTGTTATCTTACGATGCCGTGCATAGTTGAAGGAAGTCTCTCGCAAAGTGGATTGAGTTCCGTTCTGGGTTTCGACGTACTGCTCCAGGGAGTCCGGTGGGAGATGACCTTTGAGGTTCATGGGCAGTTAAAAGTAGGATAACTATACTTTTTTGAAGCAATGGACTTGGTGAATGCCAGCACACACGACGATTGCACGTGTATAACTATGTAATTTATCTATATTAGGGGACTTATAGCCCCACTTACTACCCATGAACCGCCACTTCATCTGACTTTGTGAGCCGCGAAGTGGATTCACCTTAGTAGCCTACTCACTGGACGTTTCAAGGCCATCTCTGCAAACCTTTTGCTTGCCGTACTCTGGCTGCCTGGCTGCTCATGGTGCCTCAACGTCTTCCGACGTCTCACCATCGTCCAAGTAAGCCCTTAACCCGAAACTCCCAACCCCTAAACCCGAAAGCACTAAACTCCTCAGACCCAACTCTAAACCCTGAACCCTATACTCTCAACCCTTAATATGCCTAAAACCGTGACCGCTAAACTCCTCAAACCCAAGTCTCTACCCCTAAACCTAAACTCTCAACCCCTAAACCCGAAACCCCTAAACTCCTAACCCAACTCTAAACCCTTAACCCTAAACTCCCAACCCCTAAACCCGAAACCCCTAAACTCCTCCAGCCCAACTCTAAACCCTTCACCCCAAATCCTGAACTCCCAACCCCTAAACCCGAAAACCCTAAACTCCTCAAGCCCAACTCTAATGTAAACTCCCAACCCCCAACAAGCCTAAACCCGAAACCCCTAAACTCCTAAAACCCAACTCTAAACCCTTAACCCTAAACTCCCAACCGAAACACTAAACTCTTCCAGCTCTAAACCCTTAACCCTCAAACCCCAAAGCCTAAAGGCCTAATCACCCTCGGTCAGCGCGGTCAGCTGCCCGGCGATTTCGGAGCGCCGCGTGCGGATGGCCTCCGGCGGAGGCAGCCGCCTCCGGGAGGGGCGCTCTTTCAGGGTCCAGGCTTTTTTGCTAGAACAACACGGATCCGCTGGTGATACAGACGAAGCCAGCATATTCGGTCTAAGTCGGGGACCGTGAGAGCCCCCATGCAGTGAGACAGCCTTCAACCATGCTTTCCGGCTGGGCCAACGTCTGTGGTCACATCTTCAAGATCTTGGCTTCTGCTGCGGCTTGGACCGCTGAATTCGCCTCTAGCCTTCGGTTTCCGTCGTGCTTTTCTCTTGGGCGTGGGGTTGTGCCCAGTAGCCCCGGCCGCACAGTCTGCTGCATTATGTGCTTCGTCGTCAGGACCTTGGCTCCTCTCGCGGCTTGGACCGCTACTTTTGGCTTTAACCCGCAGCTTCCTCCTGCGTACTTTTCTCTTGGGAGGGGGGTCGGGGCCAGTAGCCCCAACTGCACAGTTGGCGGCACTCTCTGCTGCAGGTCTGCCCAGCATTTCGGGCGTGAGGCTGTCAATGCTTCCGACGGCCACAAAAAGCTGAGGGATAACCGCAGCCTCATGGCCGGCTTGCTCGCAGGGTAGGCCATCCGGCTCGCTAGGATGAAGAAGGCTGCCCTGCTGAGCGACAGCGTCCAGAACATCATCTTCATCTGCACAGCTGTTGTGCACCGGCGCCTGGGGCTTGCCTGTGAGAGTAACCTGGAAATCTATATCCACTATTTGCACCGCATGCTCTGCAAATAGGAATGTGCTCAAGAGCAGGCTGAAGAACTGTATCACGAGCTCACCCGCTGTCTGAACTGCAAAGTAGCAAGTGTAGGCAGTGAAGCAGGCGCTGAAGAGTGCTTCTGAGCGCTTCTCCTCTTCTAGAAAATGGAGGAGATCTTGATGCACGATGCCTCGCTGCACGCTGGCTCTGATCGCCTGCGGCAAGCGCCACGGTGGGATGATGTACATCTGCTTCAAGGCGCTTCGTGCCACCACGAAAGTCATGACTGCAGCAAAAATATAGTGGCGGCCGGCCATCAACACGACAATCGTGTTCACATCAAAACCCATGTCTAGCCACACCAGCATAACGCTTTGCCAGAGCCCGCCTCCCAGACATGGCCAAGCAAATGCCACGACTGGCTTCAATTTGGAATGCACCTCGTCGAACTGTGGCGGCTGCCTCTGCAAAAGATCATGGACTGCTGCTTCAGGTGCAGGCAGTCGAAGCGCATGGCGGCTGCGACATGCACAACCATACCCAATTGCACACGAGAGACTTATGAGGTACAGGATAATGAGAACTTCACAGGCGTGTCTCATGAGACTAAAAACTGTGGCGGCATTGACTGGCGGGCTCCATTGGAAAAGCCAATGCTCATTCAAAAAGCTATACTGCCAGGTTCCCGTTAACTTCGCGTTGATGAACGAAGAGTAGATCGGGTTCAGGAACGGCAGGGCCCAAGGGTCATCGGGCAGAAAGCCATCGAAGCAGAAGAAAATGCTGAACAGCACGATGGTGCGCAAGAGCGCAGCCGCTTGGCTTGCCAAGCCTGTGGTAAAGACTGCTCTCGATGGGTCGTGCAGAAGCTTCTTCATACCGAAAACTTTCAACGCGGGAAGGAAATAGAACGATGACACGAGCGGTAGCCACCCCAGTGGGCGCATCAGCAAAAGTGCAAAGCCAAAAAAGAACACTGCCATGAGCACCTCGAGCCACCGCCACAGTCTGCAAAGCAGCCGTGACCTCATGAAAGCCCTGCCCACCATCACCCTGGCCCCCTCTTCGTAGGGATTCTGTGCCTCTTCAAAGACATGCATGCCGCCACTGATTCTTTGGCGTCGCTTGCGCAGGAAAATGAGCGTAAGCTGCTCGAGCCGCACTGCTAGAAACGCTGCCAAGGCAGCAATGCCCGGAAAAATCCAAGTCCGCCAGTCCTGAAGCGTTTTGATGGCAATTTCTCCAGACGCCATTCTTGCCTTGAGGAAGTTTTTGGCCTCTTGATCTTCGAGTTTCTCCACCAACGCTAGCCCCGAGCCGTCTTGCCAGCGCAGATCACCACCACAAGCCATCCATAGCTGAAGTTCCTCGAGCGACAAACGAATTTCGGTCACGGTATCACAATTCAAGTTGATGGCCGCTTCCCTCATATCCAGGTCAGCCGGCAACCAAGCTGGGACGTCCCCACTGACATTGCAGCCAAGTTGAATCATGAACGAACAAGCTATGTAATCTAGGGGTGTCCGACCCAAAATGTCCAATGCTCGGGGTCCTCCCGGCCAGGCCTCCATCAGCATCCGCACCATCTCCACGTTGCCAGACCAAACTGCTGAATGTATGACCGTGGCTCCCTCACTGTCCACAGCTCGGAGTCCTTCCGGCCAGGCCTCCATCAGCATCCGCACCATCTCCACGTTGCCAGACCTAGCTGCTGAATGTATGACCGTGGCTCCGTAACTGTCCACAGCTCGGAGTCCTCCCGGCCAGGCCTCCATCAGCATCCGCACCATCTCCACGTCGCCAGACCAAGCTGCCGAATGTATGACCGTGACTCCGTGACTGTCCACAGCTCGGAGTCCTTCCGGCCAGGCCTCCATCAGCATCCGCACCATCTTCAGGTTGCCAGCCCAAGCTGCTCGATGCAGAGGTGTCCAACCCCAAGAGTCCAAGGCTCGGGCTCCTGCTGGCCAGGCCTGCAGCAGTAAAGACAGCACCTCGACGTGGCCTGCCATGCTAGCGTCGTGCAGCAGCGTACCGTCGTAATCTCCCCCTCTGATCTGGCTTACATCGAATCGCTGCGAAGCGAGGAGGTTCTGGACTTCCTCTCGGTCGCCGGCCACCACCGCCTTCCGAAGCTCTGTATCATCGGCCATTGCTGCAGCAAGGGCGAGGGCAAGCAAGAAGGCACCAGGTAGCGCCATGAGGCACAACCAAAACCCTAGCTGTGCAACGTTGCACGCACTCCACGACAGGTTACACAACCTTCCATTTACGAGTGCAACCACACTTCTAGAAGATGTCCCACAAGAATTAAGCTTCAGTTGTATTCTCCGATGAAATTTGACGAACAACGTGGAAAATGTACGTTGCTGCTGAAAACATGGATATTTACAAGCTCTCATGAAATCAAGTTATGCAGGGTTTCTCTTTAGGCATCAGAGCAGCAGTGGCCCCGGGCAGTGGGTGATGACCGAGATACATTTTCACTTACTTAGGGTTCCTCATCTATCTGTAGTATATAATAGGTAATATTTTTCCTTAGGTATCCTCTTATATATGTCTACAGTATAGAATAGATGCAGTACTCGACTGACTGTTGAGGAACGGCTTTGGCTGTGGAGGCCGTATTTACAGCGGACTTCGTATTGGCTGTCGGCGGCAATGCTTCTGCAGCTCTTCTGTGTTGTAGCTCTTGGAAATGCCTGGTGGCAGCCTATTTTCAGCATGGCGTTAATGATAGTAGTTATAAGTTAGCAATATTAACGAATAATGATTGCAATAATAATGCTAGTAATAGGGGTTTGGGGGGGTAGTATTAGGTTACGTTGGCTCTGCGGACCTGCTGGCCGATGGCTTTTAGCTGCTGAGCTCCTACGTTCTCCGTCACTTGAACTGATTGAGCCATTGCGGCTCGTGAAGCAAGTCGCAAGCAGGAAGGTTTCAAAGAGGATGTCAGGATGCAACTTGCAGCGGAATCCTGTGTGCCGAATCAGGGTTCGATTGCAACCCTTATTCCTGAACCGAGGTCTGAATCATGAAGCCGATCTTGAGAAACGGAGTTGGGTTTAGGGTTTAGAGTTTCCGAACAACGAAACCACAATACAGGCTATGTACTTGTATCCTTCTTCCGCTAAGGGCCTCCTGAGACATGGACCGTACCTTTCGGAAACCCCCATCTGGCCACTGGCAGAGGATCACTGGTGGCTGCCAGATACGCGCTGCACGGCGTCTTCCTGGCAGGCAACCGAGCACAGCACAAAAATCTCGACGATCCTCCAGAAAGCAAAAGAAAGACCGTCCCTGTTGTGACGAGTACGGCCAGCATTAGTACTAGTACTAACTAGTTGTACTCGTGGTAGTTCGTCGCAGTGGGAGCAGGAGCAGGAGAACGAGGTGGCGCAGGAGGAATAGCAGTAGCAGTAGTAGTAGTAGTAGTAGTAGTAGTAGTAGTAGTATGATGTATTAGTAATTGTAGTAGTCGTCGTCGTAGTCGTCGTGCCCGTGTAGTTCTCGTCGCAGTAGTGGCAGTTGTTGTTGTTTCGTTTTGGGAGGGGCAGCAGCAGCAGCAAGGCGACATTTCCCGCGTAGCAGCATGATCTTGCATAATGCTGTCTTCGGTGATGTCAACCCTGAGAAGATCTTCCTTATACATTTCCATGGAGGTTGGCATAGAGCTTCCTTGGAACATCACCTTCAAGGAGCATTGGAGTTCGGACTCTTTTGGGGCCGAGCTACGAGGCCGAACGTCTTCCTCATGCTGCGGGCGCCGTGCAAGATGCAGGATGGAGTCTGGTGGCTCGACACGGAATAATGCTTTGCTTAAAGCTTTCGCTGTGCCCTGAGAGACCTACAAACTCGACCCCGGTCATGATCAAGTTTCCTACAAACTAAACTCCAGTCAGATAGCCTTCGAAAGTCTTGGAGGGCTTGTTTTCACGGCCCAAGCGAGTCTTGTGTAAGGAAGACCCCAGAGGCATGTAAGGCCTCTACCGGCAATGGCCTGAAACTCTAAATCCAGTTATAAGTAGGGTTATAAGTAGGTAACTGTACTTATAACTCATATTGGGGGGCTTATAACTCCACTTATAACTACCCATGAACCTCCAAGAACGCTACCGCTTCATTGCAGCATCGAGCTTCAGGTTCAGGGATTGTGAGGGCCAAGACCAGGACTTCCTCCACCCTGGCGCCGTATGGATAGTAGCTGTAAGAAATTAAGAAATGCGATTCGCTGCATGGAAAGCCCATGCAAGCCCGCCGCAACATGGGCGTGAAGGGGGTGTGTACAGGGCTGTCTCGGTGTAGTCGCGGCAAACCACCCAAGCCCTTGGAATCTCTTCACATTTTTGCTCTTCCGTCATCTGAGTTTGGGGTAAGCCGCTGACGACTACTTCTGCAAGAAAGTGGCTCTAAACACCGCACTAAGCCACTCCTTCTTATACCTTTAGAGCCAACCTCGGGTTTCTGGTCAGGCAGATGGGCTTCTATCCCTCCAGCGAGTGAACAAGATCAACATCAGCAGGTCTGAGAGCACGGGGGCTGGGGCTTAATAAGTCTAGGCTGTCGGTGCGCACGACTCTAGATCCTTAAGGGTCCGTGTACCCAAACAGAATATACTGTGGCCCCAAAGTACCTATATAGGGAGTACTTGAAGGCCGGAGTGTCTAGGTACATGAACCATTAGGGGATGTAAGACTGCTTGGTCTGGCGCTTCCGACGGGCTGTCTGGCAAGGGCCTGCTTCATCACGGCAAGATGGCAGTGAGCCCATTGACTGTACCTGCTATGCAATCCTCAAGCCCCTTCTGAGCCAACGCCATCGCCACCATCAGCGGCATGATTCATGATGGAAAACTCACGGAGGCATAATGTAAGTGTGCTTGTCCTGCTACGCTTGGGAAGAACAAGGTGTGCAAGGGTTGGTTGCATCATATTCGTCATCATCATGATCCTCATAATCAGCACCACAATCACTTCGATATCCGCCTCGGATTGCCTACTCATACACAGAAGCTAGAATAGAGCGCTTAAACTGAGAGGAAACCGAGCTTTCCAGGTCCTATGACTTAGTTCCACGTTTAGGCAGCATGTAAGAGCTCCCGGTCGAGGTCTGTGGAAAGCCATGTCCTAAGTACGTTTGTGATTTCAGAAGTTTGGGACAAACCTAAGTGCGTGGAGCATGCAATGTTGGGTATGAGTGCCCAGGTTCCAAGATGTCTTTAGCCCTTGTGCCTGAGACAGCGTCCCAAACTCAAGACGTTTCTGGCTGTCATTTTCAGTTTCGAAACGGAAGGCAGTTGGATTGACGCTTGGTTAATCTACGTCAGCTGTGGCAATGAGGCTTGAGGAGCGAATGTAGATTGAATCGAAGCGGCAGCCGCTTCCGCTCAGCCACTCTGCCCAAAGCCCGACGATGGGCGACTCATGGGCATCCAGAACTGCAAGTGCTGGTCCCTTCTGTCTTATCGGCAATTGGGGTCCGTGTAGTACTACCTGCAGCCATAAAGAAGTAGGTTATGCCCCCTCGGTTGCAGGGAATAGCCATCAACCCTTGAAGCAGGTTGGACATACAAGTAGGGTTCATGTTTTAGCAGTCTAGCGTCTATGGAAAAGCCATATGGCTTTGGGTGTGAGAGGAATAGTGATGCTCCCTTGTTTCCTGCAGGTCCCACATATGTGAAAGCACCTATAAGGATGCAACAGTATAGTTGGGGCTCTCATGAAATTACGGCTCAGCTGATGGTACTTAATCACTTACAGTGGCGAGTCGTCGCGACTTCTGGCCGCAAAGTGCGTGCGAGCCCATCAAAAAGGGGCAGAGGCACGCGCACGAATTACGGAAAGTATTGGCACGTTGGCCCACCGATGCTACCCTGGCTCGAAGATGCCACTGGAACGGAGCTCACCCAAGGGCCTTCCAAAAACAACCAGGATCTCTGAGCTTTGTCCTAGAAGCTGAAGCTGGAAGCCTTCAACGTTCTTCGAGAAGGACATCAAAGAGGAGCAAAGTGAAAGTCCCAGTGCTCCTGAGCCAGAACCGGGAATTTAAATGCGGATGTGAAGAGAAGACGCCTGGCTCGAACAGCCACGCAGGTCTCTGCATCTTTAAAGGCCCAGCATCGCTGACCCATCTGCGCATTCAGGGATTCCATGGAGCACCTCAAGGCCTACACGAGAGCGGATTAATGTAGGGGCCTTAATAATTAGAAGAGGGTTTTGGGGTTCCTTACTATAATTATCGTACAATATACCCCCAAACCTTTCCTAATTATTAGGCCCCCATATTCTAGAACCCCTCTAGTACCCCTTATAGTATCCCATTTTAAGGAACCTTAAAAGGAAAAAACCTGTTCTAATTACTTATAAAAGCACCTTTTTACATAATTATATATATATATATATGGGGGGGTTTCCGAAAATAGGGGACCCTAATATAGTACCCTAAATAATAGGATCCTTATTACAAGGACCCCAAAATAAGGTACCCCTTGTTTTTGGAAACTCCCATATGGCTCAACTGGACCTCTGCGCACAGCGCAGGTTGACAGGATCTCTCGAAGCCCTACATGCATTGCCACATCTGGGTTGCGCAATAATGTCTCCTTAGAAGACGGATCCTGTATAATTTAGGGTTTAGGGTTTAGGGTTTAGGAATTCAGAGTCTCTACCAGGGCCACATTTTCTCAAACTTGCACATGCACAAGCTCAGACTGTTCACTTTCCGATTTCTTTGTCTGCTGACGTCTGTAGGCCAGTCGCGATCCAACCTTTCAGCTGCTGCTACCCCGTTTTCAGACTTTGCTAGGCTTCATTACGGTTTGAAGGTCATCCGCACGTGATGGCCAACGAAGTGTCCAAAGCTCCAGTATTGTCTCACGCCTCGGAGCTGTGAGATTCACAGATTCACAAAACTGAATTGGTATTTGGCTTCCGCCGGCCCGGAACCCCAAACCCCAAGGTTCAGAAAGTCTGCAGGTTGTCCCGATGCATTGAGTTCTGGTTGGGGAGCTTCATTTAAGTTACGATACAACAATGGCATAGAGTTGCAATGTCAAAATCCTGCTTCTGGCAACTCGGGTTCAGGGTCCTAACAACAATCCAGTGTAAGTGTTAGCATGGCGTGCGTACGCTGAAGTTGATCCAAAGTCGGGGCTTAGTTTAGGTTTAGGGCTTGAGGCCCCCCCTAAACCCTAAACCCTTTT